GTCCTCCCGCCGACGAGGAGGCTGCTGTGCAGCGGCTCAGTGTACGACAGTACCACGACTTCCCAACACGACATGGGCAAGGACCCAAAGCATAGGCTCGCAGCTCGTAAGCGGGTTTGCGTGCGTACACAGAGGGTCGAGACTGGGAGCTTGCCGCTAGATGTAACGACATCCCGTCTACCACAGCGCGCAATATCGTTAAGCGCGGCTCTGCTGAGGTCAAAAAGAAAGGAGGTGCCCGTGCTGCGCGCACCAAGTTTACTTCTGAGATGGAAGAAGCCCTCGTCGAGTACCTGAAGCCATCCCGCCTACTTTGAAGGTAAGATGATTGTCGTTGTAACGGGGTTACATGGGTATGGAGTACCCGGAGAGTTACCAGACTCTCTGTACATGAATCGTAGAGTTAACAGTGGCCTCAGTACATAGGCTGAGGGCACACGATATGCATTTGATTAGGTTAAACTATGCTAGATAGTTTACATAGATAGCGGCTTGGCCGCAATAAAAATAAATAAAAACACTTCTAGTTTTGAAGCATAAAAGTTATTAGTGTTCTTAATAACTTTGAGCCCTGGTTCTTGGGCTGTAAGTTTCCTTTGGATAAGAAACTTAGTTTTAGGGACTCTTTGAGTCGTACGTCTTCCTCTGACGCTCAACTACGGCAGCCCCGCTGCAGACCGAGAGACCCAAGGTCCGGCCACCCTCGCTTAGCAGCCTAGTCTTTGCTCGTGGACTAGTCGCTGCTTTAAAGATATCGGTGGACCTACTGACCGAGTCGGAGGACACAGAGCCTAATCATCAACCCGGTTAAGGCCTTCAGGTTGAAGCTTCGCCCGAGCTTTCGCTGCTTCTTTGCAGGTTTAGCGTCTGTTGCGGGTGTGAGTACCAAGCAGACGCAAAATGCTGACGTGTTCCTACACGACATATGTGTACTGACTGAGCTGGTTGCCAGCACCAACGCTCATCCTATCTCAGTATCGGCCTAACGCCGGTTTCTAACCGCGTGTCATTCGTGCAATACCATGCATGACATGTTTAACCTTATTGGCTGGTAGTTCATAAAGCGTAGGGCAACAGCTTCTGGAATTGCAACGGATGGCACTCCCAACTGCCATGATAATTGGTCGTACCATGTGCCATGATTGCTTTAAATTAACAATTCTTGCTATGCAGATTGCATAATGCTCCTGAGAAGCTTAGTACCCTTAGTAATGTGGTGGACACAAAAATGGACTCACGACAGAAACCCAAAACAGCTAAATAAAGCAGCACATTTTTGACAACTTCCCCCCTACGGCTGGGGATAAGCATAGCGTGTTATACTCAAGAGCTACCGATGGGATCAACCAGGAGGCGACCTTCGCTGCTGTATCCAGTAGTTAATAATTGGGCAGTTTGCTAATGATTAATGATGTATGACGTCCCTTTAACGCCATCAAAGATGGCACACCATGTCGTCTCAAGTGTTCTCAAGTTCAAGGGAAAGAAGTACTTTCAACAATTACGAAGTGCCTCTGCTTCCACACATCGCTGATGTCAATGGCATCTTGAACATCGCGGGTTGGCTATCTCATGCAGGCTTCGCCAGAGCTCGTGGGAGTGTGAATTTGCATGGATCGAGTCATTTTAACTCCGATGAGATTCTCACTTCAGCATTTGCTCGATGGCCAACACATTCCGCTCTAATCCATCCAAACCCGCGTATAACCAGCGAGCCATGTCCAAGGAACTAAATTTCCCGGAAGGCTTCATGTGGGGCACGGCTACGGCTTCGTACCAAGTGGAGGGCTTCGTGAACGAAGATGGACGCGGTGACAGCATCTGGGATGCCTTCTCTCGCACTCCCGGCAAGGTTGCGAATGGTGAAACGGGCGAGAAAGCTGTGGACCACTACCACCGTTACAAGGAAGACGTACAGCTAATGAAGAACATGGGGCTCAAAGCCTATCGATTCTCGATCGCCTGGCCTCGGATCATCCCCGCTGGGATCGGAAAGGTGAACGAGGAGGGCGTCGAGTTCTATAACAATCTCATTAACGAGTTGTTGGCAAGGGATATCACGCCATTAGTGACCTTGTATCATTGGGACTTGCCCTTGGCGTTGCAAACCGAGTACGACGGCTGGCTGGGCGGCAAATTCGTCCAAAATACCTTCGCACAGTACGCACGAGTGTGCTTTCAGCGGTTCGGAGACCGCGTCAAAAACTGGATAACGCTGAACGAGCCGTGGTGTTCAGCTATCCTGGGTTATGGTAGTGGCGTCCACGCACCAGGACGCAAGAACAAGCCGCAGACGGAAGCGTACCTAGCAGCACACAACCTGTTGCTGGCCCATGCACGCGCCGTCGAAGTGTATCGCAACGAGTTCCAGGCGGTGCAGAAGGGCAGAATAGGCATCACGCTCGACTGCGACTGGCGTGAGCCTGCACCGACTGATGATCCCGTGCAGAAGGTCAAAAACCATGAAGCTGCAGAGCGTTCGATGCTCTTCTGGCTGGGGTTATTTGCTGATCCGGTCTTCAAAGGCGACTACCCACAGGTAATGAGGGACCGCTGTGGACTACGTCTGCCTAAGTTTACTGAAGAGGAGAAGAAGCTTCTGAAGGGCAGCTCGGACTTCTTCGGGCTCAACCACTACGGAACAGCTTACGCCGAACCGTCCGCCGAGTATGAGGCGAAGATACCGCCACCATGCGACGAAACTGGAGGCTATGAAGCTGACGAAGGCACCAAGTTAACGTCAGATTACTCTTGGAAGCGCACAGACTCGGGCTATGAATGTGGTGGGCTGGGGCTTCCAGAAACTGCTGGTCTGAATTCAGAATCGCTACGCAGTTCCGGGCGGCATTCTGGTAACCGAGAATGGTTGTTCATGGCCAGACCGCACCAAGGAGGAGGCCCAGAACGATGATTTCAGAGTGAAATTCTACAAAGAATACCTCACGGGGATGCATAACGCGATTGCTGAAGGCGCCGATGTTCGCGGATATTTCGCTTGGTCGCTGACAGACAACTACGAGTGGTCGGAGGGTTACAGCAAGCGTTTCGGACTGCACTGGGTCGACTATGATACTATGGAGCGCATTCCTAAAAAGTCGGCGCTCTGGTATGGTGAAGTCGTTCGCAGGAACGGATTCGCTGCTTAAACCAGGGAAGAGAAGCTCGTGTAAGTTGTTCGCTCCTGCTTGGAGCACAAATATCAGGACCACCGTTTTACAAGGTGTTGTCGAGAATGACATTCGCTGTCGACTATATACTTGTACGTGCACGGCGTTGGGGATTATAGCCTGGACTCACAACCGTTCGAAGATTTAATGGTCGTACGTTAAGCATGGATGGTTGGTTTATTGCAGCATCGATTTAGTCAGGGTCTCGGAAAAACGTGTAACTGCTCCTTTGGGCGTTGAATGCTACGTAGATATCATCGGGAAGAATGAAGAGGTAAGAAAGATAATTCAACGAGCCGTTTCACAGGAAGAAAATCTAAATCTAAACACCCAATATCGCGTAACACTTGGCCTCAAAATATTCAACTGCGGGCGTCAGTTTCTCCACATCGATCTACATGTAGAATCCAGCAGGCGAAAATGTCACCATGATAACGTAGAAACGTTAAAACACAATGCAGCAACGTTAACAGACATTGAACCAAGGTATCCAGTTTGAATGTTAGTAGCGTGCCGTAAACTTGATAGAGTTTTTAGTTTAAAACGTTTAAGGGATGTGGCGCTCACGTGGCTTTCCCAACGAACGCCACTCAAGATTCAACCCACAACCCCTAGAAAGCATCAAATGGAATCATAATACATAAATGGAGGCGTCCTATAAATATGTAGGAGCAAGTAAAGTTGTGCCGCAGTCTTACCGATAGACTGGCGTTGCCTCTGCGCTCAAAACTAAGCTCTCGTACAAGCGACTACGGCGAAAGAAGCAGGAATCAAGTGTTTGACCTGGATAACGGCCAGCTTAAAAACGATTTGCAGTAAGCTGGAACGAAAAATAGTACTCTGCCATGTCTGATGTTTCGTTTGCAGCTATCACGCTGGCTATTTCGGTAACGAGGCTTGCGTTTGCCATTCATCACCAGATTAAGATCATTTCAGCAAGCGTCACTTATCCCAGAAAGCAAAAGCAAATGGACCAGAATGCTACAGAAGCCGCCTTCATTGTGGAAGTCTCAACGTTCCTCAACGCTACCAACCTCACTGGGGGCTCAGATAGAGCTGGAACTTCAGATACCCACAGCGGTCGAGACCGCAGGGAAGTGTCCAAGCATCTAACGTCAAAGCAGAAAGCTGTCCTGAGGAAGAAGAGGTACGAGCGTCGGCTCAAGAATGAAAGGGATGCACTCCGCGACATGGTGAGTGCTTTAAGCTCACGACTCGAGCAGTTGCGACGAAGCCGCGGAAGCAGTCAGAGGAGCATTCTAGTTGACTCTTCCACGTCTGGCCCGACGTGGAGAGCACTAGCCCTCTCTCGCAGTAACGAGAGGCATCAAGCGGAAGAAGAGAAGCTCCGACTTGAAGCTACTATTGATCAACAAGCCACTTACATCTCCATTCTGCAAGAATTACTGCCCAAGAAAATGTACGAGTGGGTCGCTATCACTGCGGAGACTCGTTCCGTTATCGTTTCCAGTCGGCTAGCTAACATGAGAGGCAACCACGCTCTATTCGCTTCTCATTTACAGGAGGTCTTCGCTGCGTACGCTCTACTCGACAACGTCTTGCGTGGTACGAGCGAGTTGGATGGTATAGCTGACTCCCTGTGTCGTCCCACGATAGACAGTGGTGATGAATACTTACGCCATGTTAACAGATACACGGTACCTTTTAGTTTCAAGCAAACCAGCAAGGCGTGGTGGCAGATTACTAACCTAAACCAGTGGATTCAAGAGGGCGACGGCTATGCAGACCTGGCTGATCCGAACGATACTGTTATCCTAAGGTCTCGCGTGGTTCGGACTCTTCCGAATGGGATGACAGTATCTGCTTCGCAGCGGTACATCCTTCGCCGGTTTGTGGAGGCAACTAGAGCGGTGTTCATGTGGAAAACGTACTCAGAAGGAGAAGGAACTTTCACTGGAGCGTATGTTGAGGAAACAGGGTGGGCACGTCTTCAGCCGACTATGGAGGGCGATTCGACTGAGATTTCAGTGTGCGTTCACCAAGCTCCTATGCAAGTTGGTGGTTCAGCATCAACCAAGCAGGAGTTTTGCGACGTAATGCATGGTTTACTTAACGAGACTGCGCAAGTCATGATGAATCTACTATCCAAGAAGCTACTGGAGGAGACGCTGTCCACTATCGAAGTAGAATAGGGATCACAGAATTAGCAAATAGTAAGTCGTAACTGGTATACAATGATGCTGCTTAGTCTGCTATCGTGCCCGTCATATTGCTCATCACACTCCTAAAATTTACTACCTGGTTATCCTCGTTGTATCGAGCATTTTCTTTTTCCAAGTTCTACTCATGTTTGAAAGGTTAATGCTACTCGGTTATAAGTACTCACAATTGAGTGGACCTGTACGTCACATACTTTGGATCTAGAAGCTATAATAACTGGAGAACCTAGCGTTCACCCTTACAGGACAGTCGAATCTTTGTTAATTTTTAGGGCACACACACTAGCAACCTCGCCACCTGATGGTTTCTGAGAGTGCCTCATGCAATCCATACTCGAATGAACGTCGAAGAGTACCAGGATGCACAATGTTAAATACTTAGTTGAACCAATATATACAAAAATATTCTAACAAATTTAATTTATTTTTTTAAGTTTTTCAATTATTAATAATTTTAAAATTAACAAAAACTGAGAAGAATTTAACATAAAATAGAAATTCATTAACAATTTGAACGGAAATTATTAAATTTCAATTCGCTCTTACATATATTCACTCAACCTGGCACTCACTCAGGCATATCGGCAGTGCTTCTCTTTTTTTTTTAATACCGGTCAACTTTATGGCCTCGTTCCACGACTCCAGGAACGAGCCCATCCTGGACCAGGAGTACAAAACGTGGATCACGCTTTCAACCAAGAGATCTGCGAGGTGATGCACACAATTGCTCCTGAACGCGTCGGAATTGGCGCAGTTTCGATCAAATCACTGTCACCATATTGTTGTGTGATCTCATCATTTAAGATGAAATTGCGTTACACTGGCGAAGACGCGATCAAGCTAAATAGAGGCAGGGACCATATTATGACCTACAACGGGAAACATCGTCACGCTACGACACAACCCTGCTTATTTTCCAATCTTCTACCTGATGGCCCCACCTTGAACACCACCACCGTTCCAATCTTTTCTCCGGAATCACCCTTGGTGGCAAGGAAAACGTTTTGCAGCTCAAGCATCGAATTGTCATGGCCCCGCTCGGTCGACTCCACACGGGTGAAGATGGTGCACCTACGGATTTAGTTGTCGAATACTGCGCACAACGTGCTACTGACGGAGGACTGATCATCGCTGAAGCCACGAACATTAGCCCCACCGCTCGACACTACTTTGGTGGGCCTGGCCTCTTTAGCCAAGACCAGATCAAGGGCTGGAAGCTCGTAACGAAGTCCATCCAAGATAAGGGTGGCAAGGTCTTTGTCCAGCGCTTTCACTCGGGTCGTGTGGGTAACCCATTACACCAGCCGTACGGGCAGCTACCCGTCTCCTCGAGCGCTGCAAGTACGGAAAAGTCAAGAGCCGCGCCGTCACTCCCCAGGGTGTGCAAGGATTACTTAATGTATTCTAAAAAAAAGATTTTGCAGACCAATGTGGATTTAGCCCACAGCAAATCACACCTAAGACCCTTAGCTCATCGGTTCGCTTCGAATGGCGGCGGCAATTGAGAGTGCACAGTGGCGTGCCAACTTATTTACAATACGGAGGTCAATGCGGGAGATGCAGCACCCAGTTGCCCTTTCAAAAAGCTGCATCCGCAGCTCCGTCTTCTCACCATACGGCGCGTCGAACATTACCTCGTCGCTCAGCGACAGAAAACCCTTTATACGAGCTTTTAAAACACTAAAACAGCCCATAACAACACACAAAAGCATTATTACTGTAGAGTTAGATAAAGAAGAGCAGTCAATTGTGAAAGTGCAACCTACCCTCAATACGGTTGCACAGGGGCAATTAGGGCCCCAACCTCAGCAGTTCCACGTCATCTATATCTTGGACAAGGTCCTTGGTCTGGTTGTGGGCGGGGCGTTGTCTAAGACAACGACTGCAGCGGGGCTGCCGTAGCTAACATCAGTGGAAGACGTACGACTCAAAGAGTCCCTAAAACTAAGTTTCTTATCCAAAGGAAACTTACAGCCCAAGAACCAGGGCTCAAAGTTATTAAGAACACTAATAACTTTTATGCTTCAAAACTAGAAGTGTTTTTATTTATTTTTATTGCGGCCAAGCCGCTATCTATGTAAACTATCTAGCATAGTTTAACCTAATCAAATGCATATCGTGTGCCCTCAGCCTATGTACTGAGGCCACTGTTAACTCTACGATTCATGTACAGAGAGTCTGGTAACTCTCCGGGTACTCCATACCCATGTGTGCGCCACACCCATGTAACCCCGTTACAACGACAATCATCTTACCTTCAAAGTAGGCGGGATGGCTTCAGGTACTCGACGAGGGCTTCTTCCATCTCAGAAGTAAACTTGGTGCGCGCAGCACGGGCACCTCCTTTCTTTTTGACCTCAGCAGAGCCGCGCTTAACGATATTGCGCGCTGTGGTAGACGGGATGTCGTTACATCTAGCGGCAAGCTCCCAGTCTCGACCCTCTGTGTACGCACGCAAACCCGCTTACGAGCTGCGAGCCTATGCTTTGGGTCCTTGCCCATGTCGTGTTGGGAAGTGGGGAGATTCACTACAGTCAATGTATTACACTAAATCCACATTGCTCTAAATCCTTAATTTATTGTTTTGTTTCTGATTCTCCTTAATTTGTTGGACGGGTAATGGATACAAGTCGGACGGTCGTTGGATGGGCCGTCCAACTATTTCGAATATTCCTTGCTCTATTCCTGAGCCTGGTCCTATTATTTTCTGAATGCAAAACGAAAAAGTTGAACGAGGTGTACACACAATATTGCGTATTGAACACATTGCGCGAAACACGACTGCAGGCGACAGGAGGATGCGGTGACCGCACGATCGCCACGCTAAGGTCCGTTCTCAACCGAGGCGTCAGAGCGACGCATGCGTTGCATGCGTACCCTAAACATCGCAATTCAAAATACTTGACTATCATTGGCAGAATAATAGCCAGTCATGTTGTGTTCTAGCAGTTCTAGCCTGGCGCTAAACCGCTACTAAACTACTGGTAATTAACGAGCGCGGCGATGGAAAACCAGGATCCCCTCCTAGGAGAGAAGAATATTCCTCCCCAAGCCCCATCGTCCCAGGAGCCTCCTCAGCAGATGCATGCACTTCCCCAGGTTCAGCAAACTGTCGCTCCCTCGGTGGGTTCTGATTCTTTGCATTGGAAGTTCTCTCCACCCGTAGCGAGGAATCTCGCTGACGAGCTCGGACGTCTTTCGCCACCGTCGCCATCTCTACCGAACTTATTCGAGGCTGAAGTACGCCATGCCTTTCGTGGTGGGGTTGAATGCCACGAAAAGGGCTATGGTCAAAGCACGCAAATTGAGCGACAAGGCGGGGACGCCCCTGCTGGTAAAAGTGGTTTAATCGCGGAGGGGCATCTTGTGTGGGAGCCGTACGAAAAAAATCGGTGGACCTGAGGCTGCGGCGTTGGCGCGCAGCAGGGATACATCGCCTCTCTCGCTCAGGGGATACAGAGTCATTGTTGTTGCGATCTTTACTGTAAAACACTGCTACCTTGAAGGTTAAAGGGAGAGTAAAACTGTTTGGTTAGGGGAGGTCTTTGATTGGCTAAAAATCGAACAAAACGTGCTGCCTATGGGCCGATTGCACAGCCAATCAAATCGCAAAGTGGTTGTTAAGCACGCGTGCGTCCGAAAAACGCTTCGGTTGAGAACGGGCCTAAGCTTGCTATTTTTCACTATTTGACATATCTACGCTACACAGATGCTCGATACGCAGCCAAGCAACCAGCAGATCCATCAACCCGAGATACTGCGGCCATGGAATCCTGTTAATTACCATCAAATTCGTCAATTAGGGCACACTGAAGAGAAAGACAGCTAAGGTTTCGACATTCTGCCACAACCAAGAAGCGAAGGTTGTCACGGCTTAGTATCTCTCGATACCCGATACACAACATGAGGAGCACCATGTACGTACTATGTGTAGTTCTGCTATACTTGTTTTACTGGTTACTTACTCTCTGTAATCTACTGTGTTTTCGAAGGATGTTCACTACCGTCGACCACTGAAGATGCTCAGCACGTCTTGTGTAGTTGTGCTGTGTGCGATCTTGTATTGGCAGTTCGGTCATGGCTGCTCTCAGCATTTGCCGCGCCTGACTAAGCGTTGGATTATCAATGTAGGTTGCTTGCCTGTAGATGATGGCTTCAATTTTCGTCATAAGATAGCGAAAATCTGACAATCGTTTCCTTATTTAAATAGTCGGTAGATAGCTAGGCACCAAAGATCGATATGGCGGCATATTCGCACTCGCAGAACCAAACCACCATAATTCCGAGGCCGTTGACAATGTCACCTTCGGAAAAAAGAAATGTACATTTTTTTTAAACCTTTCTGGTGCGTTTGGGTAGCACACGTCAATGCCGCTCCACACTTGTTCGTCACAACTTTCGAATAAAGGAGGTTGTACAGCAAAGTTAGGGGTCTCGTACGGAAGCCCGGCAACAAAACGCCCTACTACTCGGTCTCCAGCAGCTTCATAACGGACGTATGTGTCTTGTACTTCAGGTAAATTCCAACCAGCTCTTAAACACACCGAAGCTGACGACGGACCACCTGTACAGCACCCAGATACGTAAGTAGAAGATCCCTTTCTCGCCGAATGACACCCATAATCAGAAGGAATGTGCCCAGTATATTCCATTTCCTCAGCTACAGACGTAATTCCCATTACAGCCTTTAAGTTTCGGCTGTATCTGTCGTATTGGTTCCGACCAGGAAACAATAGCGAGCTCGAGCTAAATCCGAGTACTGCCAAGTAAATTGCAAGTGATAAAATAGGGCATATGTCAGCCTGCATGGGGTTGGCGTAAATGTGACGGGGATCACGCTGACGATCCCCCTCTTGGTCGTTTTTCATGTGCCCGAACCATATAGCTAACGAGTCTTCATCCCACTCGAGATGCTCGTATCGGATCGAAACGGAGTTACCAGCTCGACACATTAAGTTCCATGAGATAACAAGAAAGGTATGAGAAAAAATAATTTTTTTCTTGCGTTGCTCACGCATTGCCTTGCACAATTTGTGGTAAAATGAAAATTGAAAATTTATCTTTCCTTCGACAAGGCTGTCACCACTTTCCTGCTGATGGCGAACCACGCTGCGCTTTAAGCCCTTAGAGAACTTCCTTGGCTCGTTGTCGTAGTTATCTGGCATCTGCACGTCGTACAACCGATACAAATGGAAAAGACTGGATCTCATTGATCCATACAGCGACTTTCCTGGTTTCTTGCCGTCCTTTTTCCGAAGTGACATCACAAAGCACTCGAAATTATGCACATTAGAATCCACTAGATCCAAAGGCTGTTCTCTACGATCACACTCCACGTAAAGCTTCACATGGCTCTGTTTCTGTTTGTATGCCTCAGTAGTGTCATCCGTAGTTACTGTGTCCAAAAGTGCCCGTAAACTAGGCTCAACGCCTCCAGGCTTGTGGTCGTGGAACCACAAAACGTACTTAATAATTCCATAAAGATAGACACTCTTGGACTTCGCGTTCACGGTGTAATTCCTCACCATCTGCACTTCATCATTGAGCTCTTCCATCATGACCTTGAATTTTGGCGTCTGACACTGCGGTTATACACTACACTAGCTATCCAAGTAAGTACGATCCAAACAGTGTCCAACAAATCCTTACTACATACGATTTTTGGACGTTACTTCGGTTACTTCACTCCGTTCAGGTTGCCTCGCGAAGGTGTAGTAATATGTGTTTTTCAATATAATAATTGACAATATATTGATTATTGGGTCATCTTACTTGATAATGAAAGTTCCTCAGGTACTCGGAGATTTCAGGTTGATGAAGTGTGACGCCGGTGTAACGAGTCTCTCGACATTCCATCCCGATCAGCGTTGTTCCGTTCGTCGATGCACTCACGACAGCGCCTGCAGACTAGCAGCGCTACCACATAGCGGTTGTAAACAGCAACTCGTTCATTTGACAACACGAGTAACACCAGCTTTGATGATGCAATTCACTAAAATAGACCCCTGTCTCAGAACTGTTTTCGAAGAAATGCTTTTGACAAGTACAACTATCTACCCCGTTTTCACAAGAATGGTATTTATAGGGTTTACAATCACATTAGATTTCAGGGTAGAAATCCAGCGAGATTTGGCTCAGGAGAATTATATCCGGAAGTTTATCAAAGGTCCCAGGGCGCTAAACGGGTGTGTAGTAGGGTACTAGTCGCACCAATTTGATGAAGCAAGCAGCCAAGAATTCTGGAAATTAAGCACACCAGGCTCATCGAAATCGCGCTAATTGGTTACTACTACGCTACATGTATCTAGGTTGCTGACCGAGGATTCTCCGACATTTAAGACCATTTGGCATAGGAACGAGATTCGAAAAATAGCGTTGACCGAAGCTGATGGAAATTCGCTACCTGAGCAATTGAAAGAATAGTGGCACTGGCCAGCACAACATTGTCGGTGGCTCATCGGGTTACACGAATTACCTCCCCTTGGTTCTTGGGAGATTGAAGTGGTGAAAGGCAATGGAACGTCGGAGAAACGCTGCAGCCTACCGATAAAGCTGCTTGCCCTTGGGAACAGCTTCAAACACAAAACACACACGACATCTGATTGTTTATTCTAGTTACTTGCATTGCATACGTCGAAACACCAGCTGGAAACTCCACGCGGCAAGCAGGAGTGATTGTGAGAAAGGGACCAGCTGCAAGCATTTTCATTATTTCAACAGCCACGGTCGAGGCACACGACCAAGTCATGATGACCACGGACGCGCCGACTATAGCGGAACTGGTGGATGCAAAATCACGGCCGCAAGGCCCAAACAACGAGGAGAAAATCAAGGCAGAAGAGCTTGTCATTACTGATGCAGTTGCTACCTCGGAACTCGCTCAAGTTTTATTCCAGGACGCCGACATTGAGACCGATATCGTCATGTTTGAGCTGCAGGCGTCCAAACCCAAGACGCGAGCAGAGAAGGAAGCCATTCGAAAGCGCAAGTATCATCACAGACTGCGAAATGAACGGGAATCTCTGCGTCAATTGGTGAGCGAGCTCTCGGCCCAGTTACAGGAGCTGCGTCTAAGCAGAGGACTTTGTACCAGTCAGGAAGACATCACGGTGCTTGTCAATGCGAAGAACTGGAAGGAAGTTGCGCTGCTTCGTCGACAGCTACGGCAGAGATCGGAGACGGAGCAGATGCAGCTCTTTACCGCAGCAAAGCTGCAGGCCATGTATATCAATAAGTTATGCGCACAACTCCCCGGTAATTCGTCAAGGAGACTTCAAATAGAGACCGACACGCGTCCAATGAACCCTCCTTTCGACTATACCAAGTATCGTGCCCTTGTTCAGCGAGTTAATTCCTGTTACGCTGATGTCGACAACGTCTTACAAGAGTTTACCGAGCAATACGGAGTGATGTCGTCACTGCATTACCGAGATAAAGACGGATCGATCGAGTATTTCCAGCATCTGCATCAGTTTTCAGTGCCGTACAACTACGAGCAGACACGCCGGATGATGTGGAAACTGTCTAATCTTTTCCACAGACAGCAAGATAGACAGGTTATTGAAGGACTCGGCAGTCCAGACGATACCGTCGTTCTAAGGTTTCGTCTCGTTCGACCTTTGACGAGTGGAGTGATTGTTTCAGTGCTTCAGCGGTACGTCGTGCGCCGGTATAACGAGTGTAATCGCACAGTCATCGTGTGGAAAACACTATCAGAGGGAGAAAACGGTTTTGCTGGATTGCAAGCCGAAGAGACTGGTTGGCTCTGTCTCCAGCCGTCCACAGAAGAAGGCTCGACATTAGCCAGGATTTGTGTCCGACAAGCTCCCACGTCTTTCTGCATTCCGATGACCTGCGAATCGATTAGTTGCGAGTTTGCTCAAGTTCTGCGGAATTCAGTGGGAGAGGATATGCTTGAGATCTCTACCGCGCTAGACAGAATGCTGCTCGATGACACGTTGGAAGGAATCGATATTTAGTTCCTTAAGCATCACGCATTTTGATATGCTCGAGATAATCGTGTGTTTTAGATTAATTACTACTATGGTCCACCGTAAGAAGGTATGGTACGGCAAGTTGACGTCCACAACATGGAGACGTTAGGTGCAAGTTGCAGTTGCAACCAGTTCATGTTTACATGCATGTGTCCAGGTTACATGTAACTTCGATTTCGCTCCTGGAGGATACATTTGCGGCTGTCCATTCTTCAAGAGCGCAGTGTTGAGATTGGCAACATTCACTCTGGCAATCGCCAACTCTAGTTACCAGCGCAAGTAGCGCTAAAGCACGCAAGAAGGCCATGAAAGCTGCTACTGCCGAGTTGAATAAAGCACCGACAACGAGCAGCTTCGTGAAGACAGAAATACCAGACGAAGACGTAGCGAGCGCTGGCGTCGCTGCTTCTGAAGAGCTCGCAGCATCAGTGATTAGTTCCTGTTATCCTACAAACATCAATACAAACGGTAGCGTCGACAGTGAGCGGACTCAGCGTAAGAGTCGAAGAGAGAAGGAGGCCATTCGGAAGCGAATTTACCACCAGAAGATCAAGGACGAACGGAATAATTTGCGGCAAACCGTTCAGGACTTGACACTGAAGCTGGAAGAACTAAAACAAGGCAAACAATCTACGAACCTTGGGTTCCTCGACTCCGTTTGGAGAGACTTAGCCTTAGAAGAACGTGACAAGCTACTACGATCCGAAGTCGAACAACGACAGCTCTTAGCCGCAGCGGAGGCGAAAGCAGTTTGCATAAAGGAGCTCTGCAAACACGTGCCAGCTACAGTGACCAAGGGTATTTCTTCTCCTACGACGGTCGATTGCAACGTCTCTAGTCCAGCCGATCTCCCGACAATCCCTCCATTTGACTATACCATGTTTCGTGGCCACCTTCGAAGAGTTCATGAAGCTTACGCTCTAACGGATAGCGTACTAGACGCGAAATCAATGGCTGATGGAGTCATCATGTCAAGTAAACGCCGCGAGATTGACAACGAAGTTGAATACTTTGAACTCCGCCAGAAATACTCCGAGCCGTTTAGCTATGCCCACACTCAACGAACAATGTGGGAATTGGGGAAAATGCATCATCGACAACAAGATAGACATGATTTCAGACGAGTAGCAAGGTCAGATGACCTGTATGTGGTCAGGTACCGTGTGACCCAAACTCTAGCGACTGGCTCAACAGTATCGATGCTGAAGCGATATGTTGCTCAACGTTTTGTGGAGGAGAATCGTACAGTGTTCGTCTGGAAAACACACACACAGGGGGAAGGAGTTTTTCAAGGAATGCACTCGGACGAGACAGGGTGGATCTGTGTTCAACCTGCGACTGATGCAGATGTTACCGAAGTTTTAGTTTGTGGTCGTCAAGCCCCCATGAGGTTTGGAATCTCGACTTCCACGGATGTACAGGTTGAGGAGTTCCATCAAATGCTGCAAAGCTGTATCCATGAGGATATGGTTGAGATAACAAGCGGGTTGGACAAGTTGTTGCTGGAAGACACACTTGCTGGCAAAGGCATTTGATAATGGATGGATTGGCTTTTGAAGAAGGATTTAATTTAACAAGTGACAGCCTGGAGAATTTATTAGTTCATTGTGTATATTCGCTGACAATCTTACGCATACGTGTTAGCTGGCTGTTTCTTCCTTGACTGTACAAGAAGCCTTCAAGGTGACTTCAGTTTTCTAGGCAATTAAATGCTGGGAACACACACACGTTCGTACTCATTTATTAACTTGTGCACGTGCCATCAAGTAACAGCTTCTCTAATGACCTGTGCCAACGCGTTCTCTGAAAAAATCCATCTTAGATCTTATCTAACTGATGTATCATGTGCTCAAGTAAGTTTTGGATCGTGTATAGAGGATTTTTTTTTTCTTAAACCTGCATAACTTTTGAGGTCAGTTTGTATCAGATACGATATCTTTACTTTAATCAAGTAAACTGGTGAAGCATATCTCATATCCTTTGCCCAAGTAATACCACCCAGGTGAATGTTCCTTGTAGAGACCAAGGTAACATCACGGTAAATTATGACACGCCGACGTAATTTTACTCTATGTGCATGCTGCATGAACAGTTCCACCTGAGCTGACGATGAGCATCAGATAATTACCACCAATATTCTTCTTGTGGCCGCAGTGCGACACGCAGAGTGCAGTACCGTTTGTACTGCTTCAACAAAGCGTCCAAACGATATATATATTACCATTTTAATTCTGAAAAACACATATACAAAAATAACAAGGATCGAAAACAGAAATGTTGGGGCTGGGATCTCCGGTGAAGATACTAGCAACGGAAACAATTAATCCTGTTTGGGCTGTGCTATCCAGCATTTCGTCGCTTCCTATCCCAGAATGGTAAAAAGGGTTTTATAATTACCTCCACGTACCTGTTCCGTGTTGTCTACAGAAACACTATAATGTTCGATCCGAAAGCTACATCAGGTACGCCGTTAATTAAATAGTATGTGTACCGATAACGAGAGCGTAACGATTATTTCAGCTCTGAAATGCAGGTACTATTATGTTGCATAAATCTTAAAGCTGCTTCGGGCGGAGGCGCCACTTTGTGGTTCTTCAGGATATCACGGGTGGCAACATCTGAGTGGATACAACTCGGGAAAATTATTCTCCTGCGACGTAATCATTACGTATACTCACACGGGTACGTACAGTCTTCAGCAATACCACTACAATCGGTTTAGATAAACAAGCCACGACTCACCTTTTGTGCCATTGCCTAGGAGGGAACATGCTCTTCTATTCACTGCTAGCCGTCTTTCTTGTTGACACCAGTCTTTGTTAATCGTCCAATTTGAACGCAGAGCGGCCGAATCACCTCGACAACGTCAGCAACTATCCTCTCGTCGGTGTCATGGCAACCCAGACCTCGAGCATTTTAAAAAGGTTCAAAAGGTCGTACAATGCTCCCAAGGAGAAAATATCGGTCTTGAACGCAATAGCAAGGAAGCGAAAGCTGGGATTCCTGGAGTAAGAAAACTTGATGAACTAACTAGTTGGCCTTAAAGATGCAGCTCAATCCGATGGGTATTTTCCACCATGTACGTGTCGTGAAAAGTGGCGGGAATTTGGACGACAACAAGGATTTTATGCGGTAGCTATTGTACGAGAATAACTACAGGGCTAAACGGGAGGAGAGTTTTGGTTTAGTGAGGACAAGCTATTTAACTAGCTAAGGAGAGAGAGATCAGAAGAAGAGTTGATGATACTGTTTCAATCGCTTCGGAAATACTCAGCCATCACGAATCTTGCAGACTAAATGCAAGCCTATATGAGCCTAATTTCTTCGTTGCGTCATAGATTGGTGAATGAGGCAGCTGGAGTCTCGAGAAAGTCTCCAGTAAGATTTCGAGATCCTGCGGCTAGGAGATGAGGATGTGGGTTTTGATAGCTACCCCCTGTTTATCCACTGGCTCAGATATATCAAAAAATACAGGGCTATCGTGGGAAGGGATTCTTTTTTAGACTTTGATACGCTCAATTTTTTGTTAAAGGTAATGCCATTTGAAATCGAGGCGAAGTCTGAGTCTTATTCGACGTCAGCATTAACTGAGATCGTCCTCGGTCGCCAGCACAATGCGTGATCCATCGCCCCACTATATAACCCTAATAGTGGTTGTCAGAGCTGGATAGAAGTAGCGACTCCAAGATGCCTATATCAACTAATCATCATTATTTGAGACTGCGTCGAACAAAATGTTACAAAAATTCACCATGTGGAGTTTTTAACATACATGTAATCGTTTCGAAAGTCAGCCTACGTACCAAATCGAAAGTCAAATAATACTTAGCTAGCATGTACAAAGCTTTAAACACTTTTATTTGATTGCTTTTTATAAGATCTTTCTGGCAACACCTGATCGGAAAAAAGAAATATATTGAGTTCACAATGAGAGATGCGTGGGTTAACCACTTTTTATTTATTATTGGAGAGATAGTAATTGTCAAAATTGAGAAAAGATCAAGGTCTTGTAGTTTGCGCCACCACTATACTATCAAAACAAACCTGCTATTTATCGTTTTTTGCAGCTCTATTGAAACGATATCTCATAGAACTCCATCTTGTTAAGTGCTTTATTCATAGAAAATCGTGTGTTTATGCAGAAACCTCATAGTGCGTAATCTACCGCTGAAATTAAGCCATACAACTTTTTTTCTAACACAATCTTTTGCAGTCCTTCCACAATCCGTTCCTCGTCTTGTTTTTCGATCATATTGCAGTGCAGAATTTCGTTGAACAGATTAACCGTAGGAGTATCAAGCTGTCCGTCCACGTAGTGCAAAATTGTCCGGCATCCATATAGTTCCATCCAAGTCCCACGGTTTGTAGTGTTTCCAGAAGGTCTTAGACGGCACCAACCCGATTCGTCGGCACGAATGCCACGGAGAATACCCTCCCCCTCCGCCAATACCTTCCACACTAGCACCATCTTGTCTAGCCCAGCAAAGCGACGAAGGACCAGAAGCGGTCGGACTGATGCAGTTTGCCCGGACGTTTGAGTTTTTGATATGCGATACCTGACGGCAATGGTGTTTTTGGCATCCTTTCCAGCGTTATACGCCTGTGCATCTTCAGCTTGTGCATGCAGTTCGGCAATATTCCACATCTCCTGACACGTTGACTCAAATGTGCTCGGAATTAGCATCTTGGTTGAACGGAAGAAGTGCTTCGCGCTGTCGTTGTCTCGGTCGTTGTGAGCAGATTGCCACGACCCTTGCGTGCTTGACACGAAATCGATGTCTTCAAACACTTTGTCGGTTTGCGCGTAGTTCACTTCTAGATCTCGAAGAAAGGCAGCGCACAGAGGGCTATCGCATGGCCGAGAACGTGTGGCTTTGCTCGGGCGAGGTGCGCGGGCGATTTGCTTTCGCGTGACCCTACTTAGATCGTTGATCAACTTGGCTCTGGCTTTGATAGCATCGACCAGACGTTGGTTTTCTGCTTGAGCACGTTCACGCGCCTCAAGTTCTGCAACCGCAACGTTCTTCCAGACCCGGTTGGGTCTGGTGGCCCAATCATATCGGCCTGTAGTGTTTTGGGCGGTTTTCATAAGCTTTCGTAGAGTGATAGAGAGTTGGTCCACTTCGTCAAGGAGTTTACTACGCTCGTCCCTTTGACGCTTGCGATATTCTTGTCTGCGGCTGGCCTCCTTTGCTCGACGAGTAGCTTCTGCACTTTGGTTTTCAGGGTCACTGGAGCTGCTTTCGGTTTGGTTATCATTAGCAACGAGATCTGGCAGCGTCGCGACAGCCATCGAGTCGACCTCGAAGGTGTTGGATGAGGCATCACCAGCAGGTAGCAAACGGGGGTCGAGAGCGTCGAACGGGAACTCAACGTTGGCATCTTTCATAGCACTGTTGTCCAAGAAAGCCTCTAAGTCTTTGAGGAACGCTGCGTTGGAATCCATTGTTGCTACACCGAAGAAAAAACCAGTAATGACTGTTGTTGTCAGGTAGGAGTGAGAGATCAAGTCAGCAAGCAGTGTAATCTACGATAATCGTAATCTCCCATGTCGGTCGATGTATGTGTTGTAGGTGTGGTAATTTTTATTGTGGAAGTGAGCACGAGTGACGATATCAAAGCTACAGTTGCAGTGGAAACAGTGAACTGGGCAAGTATCGGTATACCTTCACTATGATTACAGCACGACGCGCTCATCGACATTTTTAACACATCATCGGAGAAACGAAAGTAAAGTATATATTGTACTTGCTTCGTTATTTCGCGTGTGCTCTCAAGTAACCAGCTAACTTCTTACGAACTCATCAGCGGTTATCAATGCAGCTAAATTAGAATGGGAGTAGTTGCTGTCCAGTCACTGTCACCAAATTTAATACACCTGCAAGTTGCACTTCCATAGTATTAACAGTTGTCCGGTTGAATGTAAAGGGTATTGGAATGTCTAAGAGCAGATCCCTGCATTCGCTCCCAGTTGGTTTTACCTTCAACGCCACAAACGGTGAGCAAGAGTGAGTGACATGATCAGCCATCACCACCTGCCATACCAGTTGCTCTTGCTCTCTCGTGTGATTACAGCATCACGAGGCTGGCTACGGTACCGGTAGTTTGTCAGAACGCAAGTAACCAGCAGACTCGAAAGTCATGCAGCCACTCACGTCAATACCCACCGATGCCACGCTCTTAGAGGAGGTTGGAGCCTTCCTCGACGTGAATGAACTGTCGACGATAACCCCTACACCTTTCGATCCTGTGCAAGTGTTCAACACTGGAGTATTCCCAAGTCCTGAAGCGATTGAGTTCCTAACAACAGCCGACTCCCCACTAAGCTACAGTTTTCACGATGAGATAGACAACGGAGACGTCGCACAGAGCGATAAGCTTCGGCGGCAGAAGGAGGCCTTACGGCGTCGAAAACAGCGACAGCGACGCAAGGATGAGCGTGACAGTCTACAGAGAGAGGGACTCGAGTTGACAATGCAGCTGCAAAGACTGAAGCAAGCGATCGAGAGCAATGCCGGAACCAACCGTGCGAGTGTCCAGCTCTCTAACTATTACTGGAGAGACTGTGCAGCTAGAGAGTGTATAGAGCGACTTGCAGCGGAGACGGAACAGAAGCGTCTCGTAGCTGCCACGAATGTACAAGCCACGTACATCGAGAACCTGACCAAATTACTACAGCGGCGAGGTGCTACTAGTCCGCGAGAGAGTTGGGTCCCTGGAATCAGCGATTGTAAGCGCCTCCGGGTTGAGACTTCTGATGACGCCGTGTTTACGGCACTTATCATGGAGGTTGACGACAATTACGCCCACATTGATGCGTTGCTACGGGAATGTCGTATGGGCGAGTTGTCTATGGGAATCACGAACTCTGTCCATCAGAATAAAGAGAACAACGAAGTCGAGTATCTCCAGCACGTCAACAAGGCGATGCAGCCATTCGACTTCGAAAGCACGTACAACTCGGCTTGGAGTGTGGCTGGTCATCCTCATCGACAACTTGATCGTGAGGTCTACGCAGGTGCAACAGGATTGGATAACACCATCGCTGTTAAGTTCCGTATTGAGCGGACGTTGGCCACAGGCACCAAGGTGTCCATGAAGCAGTGGTTAGTTGTTCGACGATTTATTGAAGCAGACCGAGTGATTCACATCTGGAAAATCTATTCGGAAGGTGAAGGAAATCTACGCGGCATACATTCGGACGAGACTGGATGGGCTAGGCTGCGACCGACGTCGGATGGTTTCGGCACATGGACTGAAGTCGTTGTGCGCCAAATACCTGTACTCTTCAGCGTATTCAAGCCTGGCAATTCTGTCGTCAACGAGTTCCGTGAAATGCTGCAAGATAAAGTTGACGAAGATGAGGAAGCACTCACAGGCGCCTTGGAATGCTTGCTGCTCGAAGACACTTTGGCGATTCTCGATGAGTAGGCATCTGCGATAAGAACTTAAAAAAAAGATAATGCAAACAACAAGGAACTGGCTAAAAACTGGTTATTGGAAAGGGATAGAAATCTCCGTAACTCAACGCGTCAGTCATTATTAGCCACCGACGAGTAAAAATCGGCATGTCTACAGACCTCGACTTCCTCGACGAGGTGGTAGCCTTCTTAGCTTCAGATAGCCTTCCCGCCACTACAGCGAATGGAGTTGAACTCGTAAAGGAGCAGAACTCAACGAGGAAGTCGCACTCAGTTCCGTTTATAGACATCGAGTCATGCGTTGATGTTGACCAGGATAACAAGCGCGATAGCAATCCGTACAAAATGAAATCAAAGCGAACAACGCAGGGTAACGACTATCGTCCAAAGAGATACCGCGATCGTGTGAAGAATGAGCGTCAAGAGCTAAAACGAGTGGAGAAGGAGCTGAGTTTGAAGAAGCAGGAACTCATCGACGCCAGAGAAGGCAGGAAGACCACAAAACCCACTGATTTGGCACTATCGACACCATTCTGGCAGGAGATGGCAACTCGACAGCGAGAAGAACGAGAACAAGCAGAAATGGAGCAGAAGCGTCTTGTTGCAGCGGTACAGTCACAAGCGTCCTACATCGAGAACTTCTGTGCAATACTACATGAAAGGCCTAGTATCTCTCGTGCTGGTAGAGACGCAAAGCAAGTCGACGATGACAAATAGTCTCGACTTAAATCGTCAGATTCCGCTCTGTTCAAGGCGTTCATTAACATAACTGAGGAATGTTATGCTCGAATCGACGAGGTATTTGCAGAGTGCGGCATGGAATCTCTGCCGATGGTCGAAGTTCACTCCGCTCACGGATAGAGTCCAGAGACTGGCGTGGAATACGCTCAATATTACGCAGCCATTCGCCTTTGAAGCCACTTGTAACTACTTGTGGAATGGTACGATCGTACCGTATCCTCAGCACGACCGGGAGGCCTTCGACCTCGTTGGCGATCTTGAGAACACTAGAGTCATCAAGTTCAGACTGAAGAAGACTCTCAATAGTGGGGCAACTGTGTCGATCCTTAAGCGTGCCGTTGCACGGCGGTTTTTCGACGAGAATCGCATGGTTATGGTGTTCCAGATCTTCTCTGAAGGTGAGGGGATGTTCAGCGGAATGGATACGGATGAAACCTCGTAGTGTAGCGTTCGACCCTGTGTGGACGGACTGGCCAACCAAACCTTGCTGGAATTTTGCTCGCGACAAATTCCGGCTCCTTTTCTTGCAACGCACACTTGTGACTCGACGTTAAAGGAGTTCCAAGGAATGCTGGAGGATGTAATGAAAGAAGACGGGCGTGAATTTGTTAATTCGCTGCAGTAACTTGCGTTGAACGATACGTCTACAATGGTCAATCATAAGGTAAATGGACACTGAACTCCACTGAATAAAAAAAAAAACTTGGCTTACATTGTTCTACTACTCGTGACAAATTTTATAACTATTGGTAGTTTCTTTAATGAAGTTAGCCACAAAGGTCTTGTCGCTATTTATGCATCGCCCTTCGAGCCCATATGGCATCCGGCACTATTGTCTGATCATAATGACGTCATGGAATTGCATAACGCAAACAATTAACAACTGGTTCACGTGGAAATTATCCAATGCATAGGACGACCAGTGTGTAATTTCCCACCAGGGCGGGAGGAGATTAAGTATGTCCGTGGACTTGGACTTCCTAGACGAGGTAGCCGTCTTTTTAGACACTGTGCCACCCGTGATCACGCCGCGTAACTCAGCGAGAGAAAATGAGTACCAGCAACTTGTTGTGGGTGCGGCGTTGTCGAACAGCGAGTCCTTGGAGGTTCTCGATTCATCGTCGGATGATCTCGTGTCAGCAGACCAATTCAGCGAGAATGAAGCGACGTCAGTGAGGAAGACGAAGAATACTGACAAACAGAAAGGTGATAACCGCCGCAAGAGATACCGAGAACGTGTCAAGAATGTACGGATTGAACTGACGTGTATGAAGGAAGAGCTGACGTTGCGATTACAAGAGTTAATTGAGGCTCGGGAGCGCAAGAAGTCCAATGCGCGAACAGATCTGACACTATCTAAGACCTTCTGGTACGACCTGGCAACCCAGCAACAGCAAAAACGACAACGTTCTGAGATGGAACACAGACGTCTTGTAGCTGCAGTCCAGTCGCAAAATTCCTACATTGACAATCTCTGCAACGTACTGCGTGTACGAAATGCTGACAGTGACATCCAGGCATTTAAATGGCTTCGTCTGAAATCCTCCGATGCATCACTGTACCAAGTGTATCTGAAAGAGGTAAACGACAGCTATGCAAGCACCGACCAAGTGTTCCAAGAGTGTGGAATGGCCTCACTACCTATAGGCACTGTCAGCAAGTTCCACCGTCTCGGCCAAGGAGAGATCCAGTCCACTCAGTATGTACACAAGCTCTTGCTGCCCTTCAGCTTTGAAGATACCTGCAATAATATGTGGAAGACTGCCAAGTTGCCACATCGACAGATAGACCGCGAGGTTTACGAAGACGTGGGGGATGCAGACAACACCGTTGGGTTCAAAATCCGTCTCAATAAGACTCTCACATCCGGGTCGAGTGTGTCAATATTAAAGCGTGTCTTATCACGGAGATTTCAAGACGGAGATCGAGCGGTACATGTGCATAGAATTTTCTCCGAGGGCGAAGGGATTTTCAGCGGCCTGGATTCCGACGAGACTGCTTGGTCCAGCGTTCGGCCTTACTCGGACGAAACAAGAACTGGAACTTTGATCGAAGTTTGCTCTCGACAAATGTATGTGCCCTTCATCACAGCCAACCCCGAAGCTTCAACTGTGAAAGCATTCAAGGATACCATGCAAAATGCGATCAAAGAAGACGAGCGTGAGATCATCAAAACTCTAGAGAAGCTACTGCTTGATGACACGTTGGCACAGATTGGTATTTAAGCATGAGCGTGAGGCTTGAGCGTGTAGGTTTTCAGTGTTTCATTGCTTAGAACGCTTAAAATCATCTCAATGGGATTGCTGGATAGCAAAGATTCGATCCTAGAATATCGAAGAGCATGGTTTCAAGCGAGATTTCGCGGAGAAGATTGATTATCCGAACTCTGCCACGTTTCAGGCACGACAGAGCTCATGAAGCACCTTAGGCAATGAACGACGCGTACTTGGCTGGTTTCCAGTTCGGAAAGAACTTGGCCATATTCTCTTGAACCTCTTGTTTTGTGCCGACCACACCTCGACCGTCCTCGACGGTCGCCGTGATGAACGCCATGGCGTCCGTGTCGGTCTTCTTCTTGTTCTCCTCGTAGTCGACATAGTGAATATCGATCTTCTTGTTCAGTTTCTTCTCGGCAAGCTCGTGGATCTGCAGCGGTGACAAACGCTCGGCTTCGAACGGGATCTTGGCACCATCGAGCTCGTTCTTTGGAGCCGTGGACAGTACGTGTGCCACAAAGCGACCCACATCAGCTCGAGCCGTGATACTGACGGCTGTCTGGCCCTTACCCACTACATTCATGTAACCTTCGCCGTAGTTATGCCCAAGAAAATGGGGCAGAAACTCGGCAAAAAGTCCCGAATAGAAAATGGTGATTGGGATCTGGAGCTCCTTGATCAGCTCTTGCACCTCCTTCTTGATCGCGCTCGGGCCTTCAGTAACCTTGAGGCCATATTCGGCGGGGACAAACAGCTGGATGTCAGCCAATTTGGCTGCGTGCACGATGGCCTTCTGTACGACCATGTTGGTAGGTGACACGGCGCTGACAACGACCTCGCTACCGATGAGCGCCTTCTTGACGGCGGTCTCGTTGTCATACGAAACCTGGTACAGCGTGGCACCGCGTGCCTTAAAGGCCTGTAGCTCTGGTTTGGACTCGTCACGCGTGAGGATAACGACCGACACAGCATTAGCTTTGTTGAGCAGTTCGTCGGCGACGACGCCACCGACGCCACCAGCCCCGATGATAGCGAACTTAGTGTAGACAGACATAGCTGTAGGAGGGTGATGAAGTAGAGGTAGTTGTGTCGTGATGAAACTTTTGAATTGTGCGTTCTAGAGACAATAGGCTACGTGCCAGACTTATAATGCAGCATTAATGAATAGAATCCCCCCTAGTTGTCCTTATTAGAAAGAAAAAAATAACCAGTAATCGAGAAGGAGACCAAAACTACACAATATATTTTTCATGGATGTGATTACGGTTTATCGTCCCGTTAACATCGGATTCCAAGATGTCATTAAGGGGATAACTCGACAGTTGTTGAACATAAAGACGGCAAGAAACCAACACTGTTCACATGATAATAATACCCATGAATGCGATTACGGGTAGTCGTCCCGTTAACATTGGATTCCCAGATTCGTTAAAGGGATGATTGAACAATTGTGCCATTTCAAAGTGGCGATTTATTATTATTATGGCATAGTCAGGATGTATTCTTCGACAAGGATACCGACTCTACTGACTTTTTAAGGCACCATCATCTGAGCCAAGGCATCTCAATCGATAAAGTGCATTTTTTTATAATCACACTATACGTTGCGTTATATGATTAACAAATGGGTTGAGGTATCACTGAAGTACTCAATCTAGAAGCCGTAATTCAATCTTTTTGTCATAGCAATTTCATGATACATATCTGTTCATGCGACAGGGAGTGCCGGCAACAAGATTTTTAAACTGTTGCGGCAATTTCAAGACGTCAATGGTATCGATCACCCCGTTCCAATCAGATGGACATGCCGAACGGAGCCCCGCTTGCGGGGCTCTTCACGCAAGTTGTGACCGAGCTGAAGTGTCCCTCGCTTTGCTCGGCAGAGTGCTGACTCCGTGTAAATTGAACAATCAAATCTTTGGACAACCCTTGCCGCCTCGCTTCGCTCAGCGGGAAATAGTTAAAGGTAGTATTTTTTTTTCTTTCTACTAAGTCAGTCCACTTTTTTATTCCTTTGATATCACGTTGCCGGTTACGACGGTTTCTATATGTATACTGTAAATTCCTGTGAGATTTTCAAAGCATTAGCGTATACTAGGTACTCCAAGAAACAATTAGTAGAAATCGTAGACAAACTTAATATAATCGAAGGATCACGCGCACATTCATCTAACCGTCAGTTTTCTCTAATATGTGATAAAACAAAAATTAGAACCGCAGCATATTTGCTGGGGCCACTTGAGATGTCTTGGAAGATTACTGATTTTGGAACGACGTGTATCGTGTCGACTCTATAAAATACGAGATTTGTTACAGAGTACCCGTAAATTAATGAAACCTCTTCTTTCATGGCAACACGCAGATGGACAAATGAAGTTGTTTCATATCGGCATAGGACGTCTCTACCCCACTCCTTCTTATTGCGTTCAAAAACATAGGATACTACATACCAAAATAAAAATGAACGCCTCATGCCCTTGCACTTTGCATTGTAGCTTCTTTGTATGTATTTTCAGACTAAAGCATTCTCCAAAAAATATACCCTACCGGCTTCTATGCCCGCCGCAGATGAAGTAAAACTTTCCTTGTTCATAATGAACCTAATTATAATTATTGAGTGTTTTATTTAAGTGTTTAATTACCCGTTTCAGGTGCAGATAATTCCATCGCAAGTTTTGAAGCTTTCAAGTTGGAATCTCCTCAGCAGCAAATATGTACTTATGGCCATCAGCATGTAAAACCAAGTGAAGTATTTCCTCTTATCTCTCAGTTGTGAAACTAATATAAAAATAACAAAAAATATTATTTCATCCGGAGTTGTATATATCATCTTTAAGAATTAGCAGTAACTATACTGGTTTCTGATCTTTATTTTCACGTATATTGCAGAAAATCTTCCTACCGATCTGCTTGATGATATCAAGGAGCACGAAAAATATAAACACACACACCCATTAGCTGCTCCCTGATAAGCCGGTGCGTTCAGGGTGGATGCATGCGATGAGGAGTGTACGAAATCCCCAATTATGTATGCATTGCACATTTTGTAAGGCATGTTTGTCCTTACAATGCTAATCACGATTGGCTTGCATGCGCCGAGTTACTGGTACTTGGTGATTCATATTTGGTACATCCCGCGATAGGACATCCTTTAGACAAAACAAAATGCTGGCTCTCGACGCTAAAGGAGGGAATTATCAGCGCAAAGTAAACACCCTAGAACTCATAATTTAGTAACATAGAATAAATAGATGAGCGTTGAAGAAATGTTTCGTAATCACGATTGAAGACTTGAGTAATTTACATAGGATCCGTAATCCACGTTGATTTAGGAAAGGGGCACTCACTGATGTGTATTTTAACCAATGGAAATGCGTTATTTGTGAAATCTATCAGGGGTAAGATTATATACAAGGTTGAAGGCCATGTTTGATTACGGGGCAGCATTTTTTTAACGTAAGTATTCTAGATAAGTGACGACCTCGATGGACCGAATGCAACTTCATTTCCGAATTCGTTTCCGACCAACCACCCCTCAACAATACCCAGCCCAGCATCGTAATGTCTGACCAAATGACCTACCGCTTCCTTGGTAATACCGGCTTGCTCGTCTCCAAACTCTCGCTTGGTAGCTGGATTGATGTCAGCGATAAGTACACGGTCGACGCCTGGTACGACATGATGAAGCTGGCCTTCGAGCGTGGTGTCAACTTCTTTGACAGCGCTGAAGCGTATGGTGGAGGCCTTGCTGAGAAGAATATGGGCGCGGCAATCAAGAAAGGCACCACGGAAGGAACCTGGAGTCGTGAGGACCTCGTGATCACCACTAAAATTTTCTTCGGAACCAAGGACATCATGACCAAATCAGGTCCGAATGAACAGGGATTGAGTCGCAAGCACATCGTGGAGGGCACGAAAGCTTCTCTGAAGAGACTGGATCTAAAGTATGTTGACGTCATTTTTTGCCACCGTCCTGATCCGTACACGCCCATCGAGGAGACTGTCCGAGCTATGAATTTCGTCATTGACCAAGGCTGGGCTTTCTACTGGGGTACCAGCCAGTGGAACGTTGCTCAGATCATCGAGGCGTGCGAAATTGCGGATCGCCTTGGCCTGATCCGACCCGTCGTGGAACAGACGATCTACAGTATCTTGGACCGCAACAAAGTGGAGTTCGAGTATGTCGATCTGTACAAGAAGTACAAGCTCGGTCTCACGACCTGGTCCCCTCTTGCGTATGGCGCACTGACGGGAAAGTACAGCTCAGGAAATCCAGAGGGGTCTCGCATGGAGAGCTCGTTGTTTAAGGCTCTTTCACCAGACTTTGCGGAGCGTGTGGCCAAGGCTGACAAGCTAAAGCCTTTGGCGGAGAAGCTCGGCATCTCCATGGCAGAGCTTGCCCTTGCCTGGTGTGTCAGCAATGAGAATGTATCCACCGTCATGATTGGTGCTAGAACGCTGTTGCAGTTGGAGCAGAACCTCAAGGCCCTTGAGGCACTGAAGAAGATTACCCCAGACGTGAAGGCGGAGATTGACTCTCTGATTCCGTTTGTGCCAGAGTTGTCGAAGCTGGACGGAAGTGCGGCGGTGCGCGAGCAGCACTTATAACTGCGTCGGAGGTCCTTAGTGGCGTTGCTGAATAGTGTTTGCTAAGAGCCACTAAGATTGGACGGCACCGCCCAAGTCTCTATACCGACATATTCGCATAGATCTGAACAGCAAAAAGATCTCAGCAGTGCTGGACTCTATTCCGATAAAGGAAGATTTTGTAATCACTAGACCTGGAAGTAGTGTTCGCACAAACACAAAACGCTATTGCTGAGACACCTGTTTGCTAACTGTTTATTTGGTGTTTGTAAATGTGAAAGGATGAATTGTGTGACTTAGATACAATAGCTAATACAAAGTATCAAAGATGCACACGTTGCTGTAGTTCACAGAGTCAACCACTGCTGGTGAATGAAGTGGTCAAAGGCCGTCGTACATCTACAGTGGTGCACCTCGTTTTCGACACCGGTATGCCTCTATAACCTTCAAAATTTGATGATTCCGCTCAGTGCATTGCGCAAATCGTTTGTCATCACCGTTGGCTGAATTAACCTCAATGGTTTCTCCTCCTCGAGGAGGGATGACACGTCGCGCCGCAGCGACCTGACGCTACCGAACAGACGAGTAAATACTGAAGCTCACCTTATTTTTTGCTGCATCATACCATGGCACGTCGCCCCTCCGCCTATTCTACGCTAAGTCTCGCTGACAAGCAGACGATATGCTGCAAGATTGGGATCTCGCGCTCGGGCCTTCAGTAACCTTGAGGCCATATTCGGCGGGGACAAACAGCTGGATGTCAGCCAATTTGGCTGCGTGCACGATGGCCTTCTGTACGACCATGTTGGTAGGTGACACGGCGCTGACAACGACCTCGCTACCGATGAGCGCCTTCTTGACGGCGGTCTCGTTGTCATACGAAACCTGGTACAGCGTGGCACCGCGTGCCTTAAAGGCCTGTAGCTCTGGTTTGGACTCGTCACGCGTGAGGATAACGACCGACACAGCATTAGCTTTGTTGAGCAGTTCGTCGGCGACGACGCCACCGACGCCACCAGCCCCGATGATAGCGAACTTAGTGTAGACAGACATAGCTGTAGGAGGGTGATGAAGTAGAGGTAGTTGTGTCGTGATGAAACTTTTGAATTGTGCGTTCTAGAGACAATAGGCTACGTGCCAGACTTATAATGCAGCATTAATGAATAGAATCCCCCCTAGTTGTCCTTATTAGAAAGAAAAAAATAACCAGTAATCGAGAAGGAGACCAAAACTACACAATATATTTTTCATGGATGTGATTACGGTTTATCGTCCCGTTAACATCGGATTCCAAGATGTCATTAAGGGGATAACTCGACAGTTGTTGAACATAAAGACGGCAAGAAACCAACACTGTTCACATGATAATAATACCCATGAATGCGATTACGGGTAGTCGTCCCGTTAACATTGGAGTCAGCACTTCGTTACATAGCGGACTCAACAGTTGTTGAACAGCGTGGATAGAACGAAAGTCACAATTTGAACACTGCAATGTAAAACACCATCGGCAACAAAAGCTTTCTATATTAATTTCTTTCTTATGCTTCCTAACGACTCCTTTTGTACAATTATAAATAGCAACATTAGTGACGTGAGACCACCACTTTTGTGAAGGCTCTAATGCATATTCGTAACACGAGAATTGGAAATGAGTATAGAAGTAAGAACTGTCATAGGTTTTGGGGACCCATAAAACAGCAAAGATAAGAGCACTTCTACAAATGGTTAGACATGTGATGCTGGAACGGTAAGGGAGAGATCCCCATACATAGTGTAGGTGTGTGAGAATGACTAAACCGATCTGCTTAACCACTGCCCCATGCATGCGCTCGTGCTCTCGCGATAACAATAATACAGAAGAGTTTACGGTCAGTTTGTCATTGTTCAATCACCATTCAATCACTCACCGCAAAGACCACTGAATCCGCACTTTCCGAGGAGGCAGCAACCTTCCTGGACATGCTCGGAAACGCTACAACCACTCAAGCATCTCTCAACCTTGCCCAAGTATTCAACACCGGAAACCTTTCAAGCACAAGTACAGCAGATTCCGAGTTCCTTGATGAAATCGAAGCTTTATTAGACGCAGACAGGCTATCACTGGACAGTTTAGAAGGAGAGGGTGGCATTCATGATCTCCTTTCAAGTTCAGATGCTTCGATTGAGATTGTTGAATACTCTTGTCACGACGGAAGCCTAGACTCGAGCACCAATAGCGGCGGTAGTGGACGTGAGACTGCGTCAGAGCAGAGCGAGCTCTACGCAATCGGGGATCGTCGCAAGAAATACCGATATCGCGAAAAGAAGGAGCGTCAAGACCTAACACGGTTGAAAAGGGAGTTGACTTCGAAGGTGCAGGAGTTGTTTGATGCTAAAATGGGTAGAAATACCACCGCGCGTACCGATATTGCACTGACGAAAGATTTCTGGCCCAAACTAGCAAGGCAGCAGCGGGAAGAGCGTGAGAAAGCAGAAGCGGAACAAAAGCGGCTTGTTGCAGCGGTTCAGTCCCAAGCTGCGTATATCGAGAACCTCTGTGCGATCCAGCGCGACCTACCATCATGGGGGACAGATCACATTGGAAATGACCGATGGCTTCGACTTAAGTCCTCGGATACGGCTTTGTTCAAGACCTACAGTGCAGAAACGGAGGAGTGCTACGCTCGAATCGACAAGGTGTTTGCTGAGTGGGGCATGGAATTTCAGCCAACAAGCCGCCCAGAAAGTGGAGTACAACACACGTATTGTCTCAACAGAATCCTCCCACCATTAACCTTTGAAGCCGCTTGCAACTTCCTTTGGAATGATACCGGAGTTCCGTTTAGAGGGAACAGTAAAGAGATTTACCAAAATGTGGATGAGCCTGAGAACACAGCGGCTGTCAAGTTCCGAGTGAAAAAAACGCTTACTTGCGGCTCACCTGTGTCGATCTTGAAGCGTGTAGTCGCAAGGCGTTTCTTCGAAGAGGATCGCATGGTTGTAGTGATCAAGAGCTTCATTGAGGGCGAAGGAATCTTTAGTGGGATGGATATGGAGAAGACCTGTTGGAGCAGTATTCAACGCTGTGCAAATGGGAGTAATGGAGCCATTTTAGAGTTTTGCTCTCGACAACTCCCAGTTCCATTTCTTGAAGGGTGTTCCAGCGATTCAACGGTAAAGACGTTTCAAGTGATGCTGAAGGACGTGACGACGGACGAGGAGCTCGAATTCGCTAATTCTCTGAAGCAATTTGTGCTGGCCAATTCCTTGGAGGACATCGGTCAGCTATTCAATTGATTCGAAGCGAGATACTTCAATACGAAGTGTTGCTTAATCTGACATGAATTTATCGTGATGAAGGGACAAGGACTAGGCGAGATCAAATCTCGATTGAAGTCTCGCTTTTCATCAAGAGCAACGGTTTCATTCCACTTTTGTTTCAAGACATCAGTCCCTCTTGATATTGATCTTGAACCTTCCCAACACAATACGTCTCAAGATATTCGATCATGAGCACAGAACTTGAATCAAATGGCGTTGCCTGCTTCCCCTACATCTTCGCAAATAGCATGCCTGATATGCCAGTGTACCAACTTGGCCGTTTTCCACAAGTGACAACATCAAGAATGCGATTATTTCAGGGTATTCAAGGATGTAATACTGGAAGCCACCAAAAACGACAAGCGAAAATTTATTAAATTACTACATGCACAGTCCCCTCCAATTATTAATCCCACACCATTAGAAAAATCTAACAGATCTTCAATAAAAGGAGCCCATGGTTCATTGTCTTCAAAGGCAATCGAGGAGCATCTCCTGCATGAGTCTTGCTAACTCCAACTTGTCTTGCTGCGCA